CCCAAAAGGACCCTGCTATTATTAGAAATATGACTAATAGTTAATGACCTTGGACACTATTCCAATAGTAATTGGGTTCCAACATATATCTATAAGTCCATGCTTGGGGTAAAAGACTACTTTACCTCCATCTTAGCTTGATTCAAGCTCAAGGCCCAAAGGTCAAACTGTAAATCAAAGCCCAACATATGGCCCAAATTTCCAAATTGGGCCCAAACCTTTACATGATCTTATTCTAAGGCCCAACTACTTGGTCCAGTCCAAACATTTGGCATTTATAATGACCTAATATCTCATAATCATAAAGGCCCAATTATGGCCCATCTATGGCCTAATTTTCCAAATTGGGCCCGAACCTCACATATGGGCCTTACCCTAAAGCCCATCTAAACATTCTAGTCCATATGATTATACTTGGATGGCCCACCAATAACCCAATCATCAAGGCCCAATAGAAAGGCCCAACTCAAGGACCAAGTGAAATTAGGGTTTTCACATAAAATGACGATTAGGGTTAAGTGTTTCTCACTCAACCCATTAAGGACTTAATCCATTAAGTCCATCACTCTACTAGACAAATCATATGGTGTGGTCGGGCTTAACACTTAATCCAATTCCAATGGCCCAAAATGCGGGTCCCGATAAGTCCAAGCCCATAATTCCAAAATTAGGGTTTTCTAAACCCTAATTAGGGTTTCCAACCCAATCATAGCCCAATAGGCCCAAAACTAAGTCTTTAGATCAATCAGGGTTTTATTAGGCCCACTAGGGTTTCATAATTCGGGCACCACCTACTACCTCCTCGGGTTGTGGTGGTCAACGGTGGCTCACGACGGCGGCCTCCACCTCACGGTGGTGGTTATGGTTCTAGTCCATTTGGTCCAAGCATCCCAAAAGTAACTAAACGCAAGCAAAAGCACACCGCCACCCAACACGGCGGCTGGTGGCGGCAGGAGGCGGCAGCCACGGTGGTGGTTATGAGTTTTCTTTTCATTATTCTCTCACGATTACCATTTTTACAATGAAATTCCCAAATAACATACACACACCCTAAGAAAACACACACTCACATCCACCCTTGTGGTGGCCAGCGGTGGCACATGGTGGCAGTCACCACCTCACGGTGGTGGTGGTGGTTGTTCTCTTAAATTTCCGGCCAAACAAACACCACACACAACACAATACATCAACACACACCTAAACACATAGTAAAACACGCACACAACCACCTTCCACGGTGGCTGGTGGCGACGGAAGATGGCAGCAGACGGCGGCCACCATGGATGGCGGGTAACGTTTGATTTTGGAGCGTTTTGTTGAAAGCTACTCCATGTAACTTTTGATTTTGGAGCGTTTTCTTTAGGATAAAAGCTAAACTCTCCTGTTGTCGAACGAGACTTTTCTTTTTTACTAGCGTTTTCTTAAAAGATAGAAGCCAGAAGCTCCCAAACGCTGTGTGCCTAACATAATCAAAATTTGAAAGCTTCTGGGAGTTTCAATCGAGTTTCAAACTGTCCCTACTGTTTCTCGAGCTCTATCTTAGGCACGAAGAACAGGTTTGGACTCGATTGAAGCTCCCAAGCTCTATCTTAGGCACGCAGCGTTTAGAAGCCAGAAGCTCCCACAAGGAGTTTCAAACTGTCCCCACTGTTTCTCGACCCTCCTGGCTCCATCAAACGACCTTCAGGTGAGCTTCAATCGAGTTTGAAGAAGGAAAGAATGAGACCCTGAGATTTTCAGAGGCTGCCACCATTCTCGTTTTTTGAAACCCTAGGGTTTTCAGAGGCTGCCACCATTCTCGTTTTTTGAAACCCTAGGGTTTTCAGAGGCTGCCGCCGTTACAATCCATAGCTTCGATCTGTGTGTCGCAGCTTGGAACTTTTAGGGTTAGGGTTTTACTGCCAGAGCTTTAATCTCGTGATGTTCATCTCTTCTGCCGGTGTTGTTCAATCTTTCCAGTGAGAGTGAAGCTTGGGGGAAAAAGTGAGGGTGGTGACGTTCTCTTAGCTGGAGAGAGAGAGAGAGAGTGTGTGTGTGTGTGTGTGTGAGAGTGTGAGAGAGAGGGGGAGGGAGGGAGAGAGAGAGCGTGAGAGAGAGATTCTCTTCTTTTATTTTATTTTTATTTTTTAGTTAGGAAAACAATTAAATAAAAAAAAGCAAAAAACAAATAGAAAGGGGTAAAATCGTCATTTTATAAAAAATCAAACCAAAATGGACCAAACTCGCAACAAAATGAAACATTCTGGATCATTAGTGCTAGTCCAAACTTGTTTGGCCCAAAGTGGCAATTTTCGATATACCACAGGGACCATTCTTGCAATTTTGTCTAAAAAAATATATTTATACGGTTTCAAATGGAAAATGGTCAAAATTGAACAAAATTTGAAAAATGATGTTCGATTTAGAACAAAAAAACTGTAACACCCCATTTATTAAATTAATTAATTAATTAATTAATTAATGTATAGTAGCCCTAAAATCAATAATTATATAGCAAGGTGTTGGTCTCGAGGAGCTAATTGTCACAATTTTAGAAGTCAGGGGTTAAAAGTGTAAGTTTCAGATTGGTTTTGTAAATAATTATGAAGGCAAGGACTACTTGGGTAAATTATTGGGACTTAATTTGAAGAGATTTTTGGGGCTTAGGGGCTGAATGGCAACATATGGACTTCGTTTGAAAACAATTTGTAGAGGAGGGGTTGTTTGGTAACTGGTGGACTTAAAATGAAAAGAATTGTGGGAGCAGGGGTATAAAGAGTAAATTTTGGGCCTTGGTTTGCAAAGATGTGTATGGGGAGGGACCAATTCTGCCATTACGACAATAGGTTCGACAACATGAGCGTTTAGCTTTTATCCTAAAGAAAACGCTCCAAAATCAAAAGTTACATGGAGTAGCTTTCAACAAAACGCTCAAAAATCAAACGTTACCCGCTACCAGCTACCCGCTACTAGCTAGTTTTGCCGAACATGCCCAGTGTCTTTTGTGGGAAAAAAAAAATCAATTTTGACACGTCATCATGTCATGTCAGCATGCCACGTCATTTAAACCAACAATTTATCTTGTCACGTCAGCAGGTAACCGAGTTGACCGATCAAGTGATCAGAATTGTAAAAAATGAGAAAACAAAGTGTCAAATTTGAGAAAAAAAAACACAGTATCAAATTATAATTTTTGATGTAAACTTAGTGTTTTTTGTGCTATTTACTTTTATAAAAGAGTTAACGTGGACTATTTAAATTGAAATTGTATGGTTTTTTTTTAAATGAACACCTTCCAAATATAAATAATTGTTACTCTTTCATTAATTCATACAAGTAATTTGTTAGGTTCCCTTTGAATTATTCAAGAAAGTATCTTTGGCTCATTTTCTTTTAATTTTGAATTTATTTATAGTGTTGATTGACGTCATGTTTGATATTTAGCACTCTATAGAAGCTTCTGTTTCGTTCAAGTTTTTAACATTTTAAATAAACCTGTTTTTATCTCTTATTGATGAAAATTGACGATAAACCAGTCAAATACTTCTTCCTCTTTCAATAAATCAACCTTCTTCATTCATTACTCATTGCTTCCTCTCGTTCTACTCCGATCACCATGAAACGCCGTCTAGATCCAACCCCCGCCCTCTTCCCGGCGATTCTATCCATCGTTCTCTGCTTTCCAGCTATCTCATGCCAAGAAACCCAGCGGCCATTTGATGTTTGTGGCGAATCGGTCCAGTGTGGAGATATTCCAGTAGAGTACCCATTTTGGGGGTTAGATCGTCCGGCATACTGCGGCCACCCTGGTTTTCAGCTAACCTGCCCATCGAATGTTCCCCTACTCAATTACGAATCAGTAAACTACCGAGTTTTGCGTTTGGATACCAGTACACAGATGATCACCATCGCTAGAAACGATCTCTGGGAAAACTCTTGCCCTCGATTTCTATACGACACCTCCTACAACTCGACGCTGTTCAACGGCGACAATTTTGACCAGCGGAATGTGTCTTTGTACTACAATTGCAATAGTAGTATTGGGGTGATACCTTTGACCACTAATTACAGATTTAGTTGTAATGTGAATGAGAGCCAAAGCGACAGTTATTTCATAAGAACTGATCAGCTAATCCCTAGCGTGGCCAGTTTCTTAGTTCAGTGTCAAAATCGCATCGATGTACCGGTGAATCAATCTTCAGCAGCTCGATTAGGGTCAGGGATTGCTACAACAGATGATCTGAGGTCAGGTTTGACGGCCGGTTTCCAGCTACAGTGGACGGCGAATAACAATGAGTGTGATCGGTGTATTCGGTCAAACGGTCAATGTGGGTCAAACTCGACATCACCTGATTTGTTTGCTTGCTACTGTGCTACTGGAAATTTCTCGTTAACTTGTAATGACGCCAACGTCGGTGGAGGTAAGTGATTTTCCGATCTCGTAGATTCATATTTCGTGATCGAGTCTACTTGAAACCCTAGTTTGCTTCTGAGTTGAGACGACACCATAGCTGAGTCAACTCGAACCGGTTTTAACTGATTCACTCAAATCTAGAAATTTTTTTAATGGCCCTTTTTAAAAGCTTAAATCTAGTACTCTCGTTTATATTTAACTTACCATATTGCCCACGTTAATTAGAATAATAAGATTAATAATTTAAACAGTAAAGTATATAGAGATCCTTGAATTTATATTTATATATAAAAGTATAAAACTATGATTCCTAGTATGTTACAATATATACGAAATAATAGTTGGTGGTAACTTATTAAACAGATAATAAAATAAAATAGAAAAGAAGGTGGCTGTTAATTAATTCCTGTAATGTAATAGTGAGGTAGGTTTTGGAATAATTCAGCGAAGTACTTTGTTGACCACATTTTTATAATTTAAAATTATTGCATGCCTGTATTTATGTCTTTTATAAATGTATTAAAAGTCACATGCTATATATTTATTCATGGCCATTTTTTGAAGATCTAGTTTAAACGGTATAAAATTTTGAATTTTGAATATTGAATAATATGACTTTGATTTCGATTAGATGATTATAATGATCAGATAGTCTATTAGTTTTTTTTTATTATTATTTAATTAAAAAGGTTAAACTCTTAATCTCGTTCATATTGTTTCTTTTGATTAATGTATGAAGACACTAAAAGTTATTATTAAAATTAACAAATACTTAAATTGTTTTTTTTCTGAGGGTAAATCGGTAAATTACCTCGTTGTGTCTATTAAAAAAACAAACATTATCCGATATCATTTATCCATACATACACATCTTTATACATTCAGTCATGATGACTCAAAAAAAATCCTCTAAGTAATTTACACACTTTTTAATTATTTAATGATTTGATAATAAATAAATAGATAAATAAGGAATTGTTTACTTTTTATTTGTGTGATTTCTAAGCTAACTAACAATTTCTTGTTAATTTGCACAGGGACTTCAAACAAAAAATCTGTAGCTACAAGTATGCATTCCATTCTCTCCTTTAATACACTCAATATTTTCATCAGTAATACACACATACTTTCAAGTTTCAACAAACTAAAATTCTAATTAACTCTTCAATTCCAATTCCAGTAGTCGCAGTCGTTGGAGCGATTCTCGCAGCCATCGGAATCGGAATCGGAATCTTCGTTTGCAGACAACGGAGGAAACGGATTGCAATCAGAGAATTATCGCCTTCCCAAACTGAGACTAAAGCTATTCTAAGCACTGTATCAAATTATCAAGTCAATAATCAAGTCAATAGTGGAAGTTCTAATTTCACTTCAAGTATCCCTTCGTATCCTTCATCAAAAACATCTAATGATTTTGGGAAAAGTTCGTATTTTGGAGCTCAGGTTTTTAGTTATGAGGAATTAGAAGTGGCTACTGATAACTTCAATAATTCAAGAGAACTTGGAGATGGTGGTTTTGGAGCTGTATATTATGGTAATGCTTTAAATCCTTACCTTAAAATTAATTTGAATAAAAAAATCAATAAATACCATCTTTGATGGAGAATATTTTTAATAAAATATATTTTGTATCATAAAATAGTAACTTATTTTGCAACAAATTCATTATAAAATCATAGTAACTTTTTCACCACTAAAATTCTCAAATTTAGATTTTATATCTACGTAATAACTTAAAAATCAGACGATAGCTGGAAAATTAGATATTAACTATCTGAAAAATTAGTTGATAATTGATAAAAAAATAATGTTTGTTAAAATAAACATTATGCTAAACTAGCTGAAATATATAAAACGATATAAAAAAACATGAAAAATATAACTTTTTTTTATAATTAATAAATGATATTTGAAAGGATTCTAAAAACTCAATAAGCTTGTTGAAATACTAATATGAATAGCTTTTAAAAAAAATATCTTATAAACTAATTTTTCTTTTGTTATACAGATGACCCAAAAATTTAAAAAAATAAACTAATTTGTAAACTATTTCATATATTATATGAAAATAAACTAACTTATCAAAACATAGCCTAAATGACATAAAACACGGATTCATATATTCGAAAACTATTTCATATATTATATAAGAATATATTAATTTTCTTAAATTCATTTTAGATATTTGAGACCATTTAAAAGTAAATTTGAACCGGACTTATTGCAAAATTTGTAGTCAAATTATAACAAAAAAAAATCTTTATAATCAAATAAATAAAATTAACCCTTCTAGAAATTAATTCTCAGGTAAGCTGATCGATGGTCGAGAAGTCGCCGTGAAACGTCTATACGAAAACAACTTCAAACGCGTCGAACAATTCATGAACGAAGTCGAAATCCTAACAAAATTAAACCACGAAAACCTAGTCAAACTATACGGCTGCTCATCAAAACATAGCAAAGAACTCCTCCTCGTTTACGAATACATCCAAAACGGCACTGTCGCCGATCACCTCCACGGAAAACTCTCCACCTCCACCTCCACCCCCATTTCATGGCCACTCCGCCTCAACATCGCCATAGAAACCGCCGAAGCCCTAGCCTACCTCCACAAATCCGACGTCATCCACCGCGATGTCAAAACCACCAATATTCTCTTAGACAAAACTTTCAAAGTCAAAGTCGCTGATTTTGGGTTATCGAGGTTGTTCCCTAACGACGCCACCCATGTCTCCACCGCGCCACAAGGAACGCCGGGATACGTTGACCCGGAGTATTATCAGTGCTACCAATTGACCGATAAAAGCGACGTGTATAGCTTCGGGGTGGTGTTGATCGAGCTTTTGTCTTCGTTACAGGCGGTGGATACGAGTCGCCACCGGTTGGATATAAATTTGGCGAATATGGCGGTGGTGAAGATACAGAATCATTTGTTGGGGGAGTTGGTGGATAAGAGTGTTGGGTTTGAGAGTGATGGGGTGGTGAGGAGGATGATGACGTTGGTGGCGGAGTTGGCTTTCCGGTGTCTGCAACAGGAGAAGGATTTGAGGCCGACGATGAAGGAGGTGGTGCAGGTTTTGAGAGGGATTCAGAATGATGAAATGAATGCTCAGAAACCGGAGGTGGTTGATATTGTGGTGGATGGCGGTGGGGTTTTGAAGGATTGTTAGACGGAACCACCGGCGCCGGGCTATGTTAAATACTTCCGATGGTGGCCGCTAAATCAAATTCGTTATGTTAAGGGAATGTAAATAGCAAAGTTTTGGAGATAAGAAATTCATAATCTTGTGTTATTTAGGAGTGTGTGGGGTTCATTCTTTATTTTGAATGATAAACTCAACGATAACTTTTATTTATTCGTTTATTATAATATAATATTTAATTTAGTTATTTTTTGTATTGTGTGATTTGAATTTTGAAGTCTATACGTTAGCAATTTTAATAACTTGTTTAGTTGGTTATTTCCATTTTTGATATGTTATGTAGGGCTAGCACCCATTTGAGTATTAGCGGCGACAGACGTTGCCACTAATAACTTTTGCGGCGGTGCGTCGCTGATAAAAGGCTATCGTTGTTGTCTCGCCGCTAATGCTTGTCGTCGCTGCTAAAGCACTGTCGCACTAACACGTTCGCCGCCACTAAAAGCGTCGTCGCTAATTGTATTTTACTTTTTTTAGTATTTAACTTTAAAATTAGAAAAAACAATATAACAAGTATAAAAACTGCTACGAAACATTATTTTGCAGAAAAAAAATTCGAAACATTAACCACTTAATAATATATACGACATCTGATCCAAAATATTAATCCAAACATCCGGTCCAAAATACTCATCCAAACATAGTGAAATAATATATCCAAAATACTAGTCTAAAATAGTAACCTAAACAAAACATTTCATAAATCCTAAAAGTATTTACTTGTCATCATCACTCCCCTCGTTTCATTCGTTTTCATTTCGTGGCGGCAACGATCGAAACCACTCTTCCAGTACCGTACCGCACTACAGGTCGGGTCTTTTAGCATTGTTTGCAGCATGTCCAACTACAAAGAAAACAAAATATATTACCAACATATCATAATAGCATTCTACTTTAGCATCCTCCCTTTTTTTTTCATTTTTCCATTATAACATTGTACTTTCCAAATACACTTAAACATACATCCTACACAATATTGCATATACATTATAACATTCAACCCTTTTTTCCATTTTTCCATTATAGCATTGTACTATACTAAACTAACAATTACCAAACTACAAAATACCAACATATCAAACTACAACCAAACTACATCCTACACAATATTGCATATACATTATATCAATGTACTTTTTTTTCCATTATAGTATTGTACTATATTAAACTAACAAATTACCAAACTACAAAAAACCAACATATCAAACAATAATCAAACTACATCCTACACAATATTGCATATACATTATATCATTGTACTTTTTTTTTTTCATTTTTCCATTATAGCATTGTCCTATACTAAACTAACAATTACCACACTTCAAAATACCAACATATCAAACTATAACCAAACTACATCCTACACAATATTGCATGTACATTATAACATTGTACTTTTTTTCATTTTCTATTATAGCATTTTACTATACAAAACTAACAATTACGAAACTACAAAATACCAACATATTAACCTATAACCAAACTACATCCTTACACATATTGCATATACGTTATTGCTTTGTACTTTTTTTTTCATTTTTGCATTATAGCATTGTACTATACTAAACTAACAATTACCAAACTACAAAATACCAACATATCAAACTATAACCAAATTACATCCTACATATATTGGATATATATTATAGCATTGTATTTTTTTTTTTCATTTTTCCATTATAGCATTATACTATAACAAAACTTCCGAAAATATAAATAAATAAAAAAATATATTACCAACATATCATTATAGCATTCTACTTTACAAATTAAGGTCATGATTATTATAGCATCCTACTTTTTTTTTCATTTTTTCATTATAGCATTGTACTTTCCAAATACACTTAAACTAACAATTACTGTGATTGTCGTGGTGGCTGTTTCAGTGGTTGTTCCTGCTAGTACATAGACACAACCATAAAAGGTTTACGCCCGATGCCTCTGATATGGCCACGTCGAGCACCCAAAATTCTTTCAACACAATATTTTATATCCTCTGATGTTAGACTGCTTGCTTCTGAAGAAGCTTGAGTTTGTTGATTGATCTCTTGGACTAAAGCATTTTGTATTTTCAAAAACTGATTAACGTCATATATATATATATATATATATATATATAT